TTCGTGCAGGATGTGCCATCACGCTTGCGCTTTCAGGGGCCGACCTGGCCGAAATCATGGAACACGTCGGATGGTCAAGAAGACATACTGCGGTGTATTACATGCAGTTAGCCAAGGTGCTTAACCCTCAAGCCGCTTCAGCTAGACTTGCCTCTCGCAGTTCGGAGGAGCCAGTTCAATCGTGGAATGATATCAATGAATTACGACGTTTTGTGTGTGCTTTTCCACCCACTAATCCACAAAAACGCCTTGCCCCGGACACGTAATGTGTGACCAAGCGCTACCAGTTAAGGTCTGGGATTAGGTTTGGAATAAGGGATGGGGTGTGGAATAGGATTGTTGGGAGGATGGCAGACATTGGGATGGGTTACCATAACAGGTGAAAGGTCGCTGACCTACATTTTACCCATACCTGAATCCAACTGAGAATGAATAGAGTGTTAGGGAATAGAATACTATTCACAATACTCTTAATGATATGCAAAGACTGATAAAGGTATAATAGGCCGGAAATGCGTTAGGAGAAGCTGTCACGTGCCTAATAGAATGGGAGGATTGTTATAAATAAGGCAGCATGGTTAGAACACTCCCTTCTTACTCAGTTACACTGGCAGTGTAAGGTTCAGAGCGACCCTCCCGACACCCACCCAATTCGCCGGGATCGTCCTCAGAACCCGTCTAAGCCATTTTTTTTGGCTTAGACTACGCTGACCTACATTTTACCCATACCTGAATCCAACTGAGAATGAATAGAGTGTTAGGGAATAGAATACTAAAGTTGAAGTGGAAGCGTACGGGTTATGGCTGCAGAGAAACAAATGTAATCACAAACAAAAATAAAAAACCTGTTCCCTTATAAACCAATGCAAATAATTTAGCTATGGACATATTGACACATGGTACGATGAAATAAAAATTTTAATTAAAGTATAAACTAACGGTGGGGAAGCATCGCACAACAAACGAACTTTTAAAATAAAAAGTCCTAATGCTATGGAAAGAAACATACTATTAAAATGTTGACATACTAAATGTGTATATAACCTGACAAATAAAATATTTTCCTCGCAAATCCTTACTGTGTACTTAATTACGGTTTAATAACGTCACACTCTCACCCTGCGTGGAGACCACGCACATCTTCGGAAAAATCCGACAGTTTTCGACGTCCCGCGTGGGAATCACGCGGTGCGTGATTTGGTTGCTATATGGGGGGGGGGGTTACCTACTAACATGAAATTCTTAATCTCAGGGTCGTGTGTTCGAGCCCCTCGTTGGGGGCAACATTTTCATTATGGAATAATTATAATATTATCAGGATGAATACAATTCATCAAAGGTACACGCGATTCTAAAATTTGAAACTTTGGAAATATCATAAAATAAAGAATGGCATGATTACATGGGTTGCCCGGCTAGCTCACTCGGTAGAGCATCAGACACTCTTATAGTCGTGGGTTCGAGTTCCACGTTGGGCGTTTTATGTGTCGTTTTTGCTTCAATCATGTCTAGCTAGTGTACAATAAAATTTTCGGAAGTCTTTCAGGGTGGATCCCGGAGGCAACAGGTTGAATTATACTTAAATAAGGGTAAGTAATTTGACTTTATGGACTGTGAAGAAGTATTTTATTGGAAAATATGGCGAAGAAACGATCCAACTTTGTGTTCTAAAAGTTACGTGCTTTGCCTTGTTAGCGCAGATGAGACAATTTTGACTTTTAAAAATAGCTGAAAATTCTATTTTTATATGAGTAATAATATACATGGATAATTTACTTAACAAAAGTTCAACATACTTCTTTATATGACTTTAACAGGTTGATACAAGCTAAACTGATATCCTGTGGCACTTGAGTGTCTTTAAAAATTATAACTTGCAGGACTGGCAATTCTATTTCATGATGTTTTGGATAGTCAAAGTCCAACAAATAGAATGAAGCCAGGAAGGCAACAACTGCATTAGCTATCTTTTCAACTGCCGCCCACATCAAAATATGTTTTTCAATAATAATGTAAATACCTTCCTGGTCAATCAGGATGATTGGAAGATTTCCAACTCATTTTCCCCAAAATGCTTTGGATCTTCACTGTCGACCTATACATATATAGAGTACAAACAAAATGAATGCTAATATTAACAATTTAAGTTCACATTGTAAATTATGCCTGAAAGCCATTTGTGAGTGTTTACATGTTATATTGCTTAATACCTGTATAGCTTTACATGCAGCTAATTCATGGACTAACTAATCAGGAAATGTCTCAGAAATCTTCTTTAGAAGATGTATCATGTTACGACAAGCCTTCTGGATGTTTGGGAGATGGTTATGCTATTGATATTATTGTGATTTGTGACAAATAGAATTTTAATGTTTATAATTTCAAAATTTGCAACATATCTAGCAACAATCTAACTAGCAAAAATCTGGCAACATATATGTTTATTGAAATGTAGGCCATAATCATATAGTTTCTCTAATACAATGCAACAAGAGAAAAAATATTTCTTTATAATGCATTAAAAATCAAGGTAATAAAAAATAATTAATTTTTTAGAGAGGAATCGAGATACCAGATCCCAGGTCACACAGCACAAATATCGGGTAATAAACGTTTACATGTAAGTGATGTAATGGCATCATACACATCATTACTAAACAATAAACACAGTAGCGTAGCCAGCCTGTCGATTTGTCCCGCTATGCTAATATTTTAGTGTTCACTGACTGTAAAAACAATAGATTTCTAAGGACATGAATAATTATAATAACTCGATATTTACATAGCGGGACAAAATCGTCAGGCTGGCTACGCCACTGAATAAACATCATACTAAAATACGATTGAGCTAATTATAAATCAGTCTTAAGCTTGCGATATTTACTATTCGTAAAACGATAATTATTTTACTAGCAGCAGAATTTTGAGTTTAGTTCGTAAGTCGTAACGAATTTATTAGAGTACGTTCGGTTAAATACTATTAAAATTGTATCAATACTTAAGAAAATTAATACCTTCCAATATCTGCTCGCATTCTTTGACCACACTAGCGATTTGTTCGAGCAAACTTGTCGTTTCTTGATCCATATTAAAACGTATAAATTGAAAAAAATCGATAAAATATCGGCGATCAGTGAAGACGCGTAGACGTACACGACAGCGAAGAAAATTTGAAAAGGACGCGCTTCTTTCCCACAATGCCTTTAGCGCTCCTTTGTTGATCGCGTGATCACGCGCGATATGTCGCGCACACGACGTTATGTTGCAATCAATGCTCCTTTCCATGGTAATTAAAATTCAAAATATCAATCTTTGACTTTTGCATTGTAAATCTTACTTTTAGGGCCTGTTTATATGATCCCGTTTAGCCGGGACGGGATGTTTTCATCCCGCTTAGCCGGGAAACTCGCCTAGGCGGGATGGCGTGTTTATATGGAGTTCATTTTGTAGTGCAGGTTCCTTCGACGGCATGTTTTATTGTAGAAAACGAATATGCCAATATATACACATGCTCCTAATGTATGTTAATCGCGAATCATCCCGGCCAAGCGGGATGGAGTGTTTATATCGCAATTTCTCGTCCCGTCTAAGCGGGATCCCGGCAAGAAGTGCCGGGATCCCGCCTAGGCGGGATGGAAAATTGGTCATGTAAACACTAATTAGTGTTTGTATTACAAGCGGGATCTCGGAAACTGTCCCGTCCCGGCTAGGCGGGATCATATAAACAGGCGAATTAAGGTGGTGTTTTTAGTGCAATAACCAAGCACACCTATTGAAAGGCAAAATGTGACACATTTCTCTCATGATGAAATTTGTTTTTTAAGAGCTTCTATATAAAAATTGTTTGTACATAAGACTTAGCTAGATATAATTTATAAAGGGAGGCAATCCTCAGACAAGGCACGACGTTTTTACATATCTATAATAATTTATAAGCCTATTTATTGACATATTGTTCAAATTATGCATGATTTCAAGCTCTCTTTGAAAACTAAAAATTCTCTCAAATGATATCATATTTTAACCGGTGAGAAATATAATTTTCAGGATGAATTCAATTCATCGAAGGTACACGCGATTCTAAGATCTGAAACTTTCGAAATATTATATCAATAAATACCTGATTACATGGGTTGCCCGGCTAGCTCAGTCGGTAGAGCATGAGACTCTTAATCTCATGGTCGTGGGATCGAGCCCCACGTTGGGCGGTTTATGAATCGTTTTTGCTTCAATCATTTCTAGCTAGTATACAACAAAATTTTCGGAAATCTTTTAGGATGGAATCCGGGGCAACATGTTGAATAATATTAAATAAGGGTAAGTAATTTTATTTTATGGACTAGTACTGCGAAGAAGTATTTTATTGGAAAACTTGGCGAAGAAACGATCAAACTTTGTGTTCGAGAAGTTACCGCGCAGTGCTTTGTTAGCGCAGTAGGTAGCGCGTCAGTTTGATAATGTAAATGTTCTGGGGTCGGTTGTATGAAAGCTGGATAGCACTATCCACCGGATAGTGATTTTTTCAACCGTTCTAAAAATGCTTGAAGAGCAATAAAATTTCATCTTTGGAACCAACAATCGTTAAAGAGGATCCTTAATTTAGGAATACAAAGATTTAATCGAAGTTATACCAAACAACGGGCGATTTTGAGGGGATTGAAAAAAACACTATCCGGTGGACAGCGCTATCCAGCTTTCATACAACTGGCCCCTGAGTTCGATCCTCAGACAGGACACAACGTTTTTACATATCTCATTATATTATTTAAAAGCTTGATTGACATATTATAATTTCAAACTCTTTTGGAGAAAGAAGTAAAAATTTCTTAAGGGGATCATTTTTTAACCGGTGAGAAATGCTTTTTTGACATTTTCATCAGGAATAAATAATTATAATATTTTCAAGGTGTATTAAATTTATGAAAGGTACACGCGATTTTAGGATTTGAAACATTCGATATATCATAAAACAATCAATTGCCTGATTACATGCATGGGTTGCCCGGCTAGCTCAGTCGGTAGAGCATGAGACTCCTAATCTCAGGGTCGTGGGTTCGAGCCACTCGCTGGGCGGTTTATGTATTGTTTTTGCTACAATCATTTCGCGCCAGTGTACAATAAAATATGCGAAAATATTTGACGATGGGTTCCGGAGGCAATAGATGAATTATATTAAATTAAACAGGGCGAAGAAATTTTTGGATGGCGAAGAATTATTATTAGGGAAAACTTGGAGAAGAAGCAATTTTTCGAATTGTTACCGCGCAATCCCTTGTTAGCGCAGTAGGTAGCGCATTAATCTCAAAATCCAAAGGTTCTCTCCTCTTATGGGGCAGAACTTTTTGTATAGCTCATAATTTAAGCGCTTAATTGCATTACATATTTTTCTAATTAGATTTCAAACTCTCTTTAAAAACTTAAAATTTCTTAAATATTATGATTTTTTTAACAAGTGAGAAATGTTTTTGGGCTCAAGGTGACAAAGATGGAGCCAAAATTTTAGATCTGCACATGTATCTGTGTTGCTATTTTCTGAGTTACAACACAAAAAATCTGTTTGCATGTAATTCTGGCAAGCAGTGTATGTATGAAAATTTGTAGCAGAATCTTGTTTTTATTTTTGTTTATTTACTCTATGAAGATTTGGAGATATATGCTCACGTTCCGGTCAATAACAACCAGTAATTAACGACCTAACTTTAACAAATACTTAATTTATACAACGATATCAACAGTGGCGTAGCCAGCCTGACGATTTTGACCCGCTATGTAAATTTCGATTCATTATAATTATCCATTACTTCAGAAATTTGTGGTTTTCACATTATGAACACCAGGGACCAGTTATTCAAAAGCCGGTTTGTTTAACCCTGGGTTAACGCAATTTTTTAATGAATTTTTTTAATGGTTTCTCTACAAGATTCAATATCTTTTTTCTTCAATATTTTCTGAACTAATAGAATTAAGTCATATTTTCTAAAGTTTTAAAACGAGGAGTGGTTCAGAAAACAATGGATTAAAATGTAACCCCGCGTTGGCGCTAACCTAGGTCAACAACTGGCCCCAGAATATTAGAATAGCGGGACAGATCGTGTGGCTACGCTACTGTACCCCTGGCCCTGGATATGAATATTTGACATCAGGTAAGTCACTGGCAATTTTCATGCTCGCCAATTCATTTAGTTAAGGAAAATCACTATAAATATGTTCTTAAATGGGCGAACTAAGAAATGTCTTTTAACCTTCAAGTTGTCACTTTTTTAGCACGAACCTCCACTCAAAAACATCTGTGTTTGAGACACATGAAACTTTCACACTTGAAGTGTGAAACTTCGTTTCTGCAAAAAGAATCACGCGGATGGGAAAATATAAAGTTTTTGAACTGGTCGGTAACATAACCAAATATTTGGGTTATTAACATAACCAAATATTTATTAAAAATAACACTGCTTCCTAGTTCGCCCAGTCAACCCTCACCCAAACCCAACCCTGACATTACCCATTACTTTACATTTTATTCTATTTTAATCAATTATATCGTAATTTCCGTTTGTTGCGGTACACAGCTTAACATTTATACGTTTCAAGCAGGCGAATAATTTATAAATCAACCTCACAAGCAGAACTTTGAAGACAAGAAGAGCCAACAAAGCTACAGGACTAATCAATATTGCGTTAATTGTTATTTTACTTGCACGTAGGAAGAATTCACTGTCAGACACAACATGATAACTTTCACCATGATAAACTGCTCGAAGGAGAGACAACACGCAGATAATGATGACTGAACACAGTGACAATGTGGCAAAGAAATTCTCATGTGCACTAGCGAATGGACGGATATATATATGAAGGACAAGCATACCCAGACAAATTACTACAATCACCAACGCACGGACACGGTTATCGCTACTGAATGTTAAAGATAAGATTACCATCAGTCTACACAAGATGAGCACTCCTTCCCAGGGAATTTTAGGTTTTATAATACCGAAAAAACGCTTTTGAGTCCTGAAAGGCCCAGAAAGGATTCGAAGAAGTGCTTGTCGACTGACATTATCATTATCGACACCTGTCGCATCGCTTAATTCAGTATCAGATTGCCTCTTGCAGTATATTATGAGCTTATAAGACCAATAACAACAATATGGTAAAGGAAAAAGACAACTAAGAAACAATTGGCGAGGCGAAATTTGCTTCAGAAACAAGAGGTAGCACCCAAGAACAGGTACAAGACAGAAAGGGAGAACAGAAAATAAAATATATGCCATAAGGAAATACTGATATGAATGATAGCATTTCACCGTCCCGTCAATGAAGAGTACCCTATCTTTACCCACTGGAACGCAGTTCAAGAGAGAAAAACACAATTTTGCCGAAGAACTGTACATTAAGAGCGAAACATATATGAATGCACAGTTGATGCGAACACAGAACGCGGAGCGGCGAACATCGCTTGAAGTTCGAGTTCCCGAATCATTATTGCCTTTCCATCGTGCCCTAATCCAAACTGCAAACGTATGCAAAAGGTGGGTAAAAATTAGCAATAAAAGCAAACAAAAGCCTAACGAATGAAGGAACATTGACTTTGAGATTGGGCGAAGATTTTTGAACGGACAGTCTTGAACGGAAAAATTGACTGTGATCAAGTTCATTACTCGAGAAACAAAATTAGTCAAGAATCCTATCTTGTGACCAGAAGGAATACCTTTTATAATAATGTAGGCTATTTGGTAATGAAAGAAAACAATTTTGAGATAGCCACCAGCACTCGAATGTTTCTGACGGGGTTCTGCATTTGTGGAACTTTTAGATAATTGTATGGATGATAAACATTTTACAAAAAACCGAGTGATTTCTTCGTGGTATAGAAAGAACAAAAGGTGTGCTAATAAAAGGAGAGAATAAAGAAACCAGAATGTTGAGGCAGTACAGTCTTCATTCATTTTACATTTCGTAGCAAATAGTGGTTCTGAAGTACCTTGTGGACATCTACCACACAAAGTACCAGTTCTGTTACCATGACAATGACTATAGGACTTACAGGTTTCTTCCTGACAGCAGTATCCAGATGGACAAAACTTTACATCTACTTCGTGCTTCTTTTTATAACCCCAGAATCCTTTTCGCACATAAAGCTGTCCAGACTCGCACACGGCTCCTCGAGGACAGTTGTAACATAGTATATCGTTAGTAATGTTGTTCTTCAACATTCCCTTTTCTATGGAATAGGTCTGTCGCGGACATTGAACACACGATGCATGGAAGTATGTCCACATCACAGCCCGCTTCTGACTCATGAAGTTAAAACGATAACCAGAAGGACATATCATTTGAATGGTACCTTGATTCTGAACGTGACCATTGCGTCCCGCACTTGGAGTAAAAGGTTGATGCTCCATAATCACCAGATCTGAAAAAGTTGCTGTTATATTAAAGATATTAGTTCCCCTAAAAATAATCCCGCTATTCGATTCTCCATAAATTTGGAGGGATTTCGTAGTGTTTGTTTTCAAAAACAAGCAATTTTTTACCACAATTTTCGCTGCATTGGCTACAACAAGTACAGCAGAATTCGAAGTTCCATGTGAGTAGTTGTTTACGAAAGTGCAGGAATACAAACGGTGTCTTCCCCTTCCTAGATAAAGAACTGGCGAATACGAAGCTGTAGAAGGATGAAAAAAGTACCCATTTTGTGAAAACGTGTTATTGCTGTACAAAATGTAAGCACCTCGCGGAAATGAGAAGGTCCTCCACCGTCTTATTTCGGCATACACAGTTCGAGCAGTATTATTTCGGAAAACATTGTTTATAATTTTTATTTTGAAGTTAGACGAGCGTTTAAAGAAGGGATTAAGGCTTACTATTGTCCTACTATTCCGATTATTTTCAACCAATAGCTCATCCAAAACTATGAACGTGCTCCTTCTGTTATTGTTAGTAGCTTCAAGTAGATCGAAGGAGTTGCATAAACCAGAACTGTTAAAAAATGTAGATTTGCGTACTGTTATATTAGTTACCATGGAAACAGTTTTGATGTTCAGAAGTTTTGGGCATACGCGCCCACGGTATTCTCGATCGTTTCTAAATGTGCAGTTCCAAGTGTATGAATAAAATTCCTGCCATAAGACTAGATGATTTTGGATTGTCTCAAGCAGTACGAGACTTGAGTGAAAATTACAAGATATGAAAATGGATTTCATGTTCGTACATTTTTTCGAATGAATTCCGTATTCGCCATTTTCTTGAAAATTGCAGTTGGTCAAGAACAGCGATACCCGTAAAGAGTTTTTTAGATATATCCCAATCAAATTTTTCTTAAGCCAGCAATTTTTCAAAACAAGATGGGATGATGTGTTGAAATAATTCACTGCAACTTGTGCCATGGACATTGAAAGATTTGCAAACTCTACTACTGGTCCCTGGACTCCGTTACCTCGAATCTCAAAAAGACTGCATCTGTACCGGCACAAAATAACAGCTATTCCTCCGTGCCCATGAATTGATAACGACTTATTTATAGTGATGGACGCTTTCGATATTTCACAACTTTCACATTCGTTATAAGACTGTCCTCTAGCATAATCTACCAATATTGTGTCCCCAGCTCGTGATATATTGCCCACAGCAAATCTGATAGTTTTACAAGGTGAGAATAATTCACCGCAAGATACTTGATCGTTTCCCATCTGACCAACATGTATAAAGTGAGAGTTTGTTATTCTTAGGCCTGCGAAAGTAAGAAAAAAACATGTATAGGGATATTTTAAATTACAGGTCCTTAACGATCCTAGCCAGGGGTGTAGCTAGAACGATAATTGGGCGGGGGCATACTCATATATTCATTTTAACAGACTGTAAAGACAATGGATGTAAAACCAACCATGAAGTAATTTTTTATCAAATGTGTATAGAGATAAATTATTAAAAATTATTGAATGAAGTTCAACATGATATGAAGAATTATCAAGCTGAAGTTTGTGGACGTCATCAACCGAAGCCGAAAACCGAAATCAATAATTGTGTTATTATCCCCGAGCCGGTGCGAGGGTACTAATTCCGCTCGAAGATTTTATTTACTCCCGGGAATGCAAATGCGTCATGAAAGTTGTCCGCCATTATGCCATGGACGTTGGGCGTCTTTGTAAATAATGCGCATGCGTGAGTTTAAGACGGGTTAAAACTGATAACTAGCAAACGTTTGCAAACGTGCGATTGACTAAAATGAACGACCTTGCGAGGCAGTTAGCTGAGCCTGAAAAGCCTAGCCACGAGGCTACCGATGTGCTAAACTTTTATTTAAAAATATGTATGTTAGCTCGACGTCGCTCGCTTTAGTTAATTATATTGCTAGAAATTAGCTATCACATTCCAGCTGCTTTCATGTCATCGAGAGGCCGTGCAAATGCCTGATTTGAAGCCGTTGTTGCCTGTTGGAATGACAACGCTGTCGTGGGACCACAAATTATGCATAGCTTTTGTCTCGCTTGTGGAGTGTCTTTGTTTTGCAAGCGCGTCGTCGAGCCGGCCGCGTCGTGAATCGTAAACTCTGATCCCTTATAAAATAACTACTTGTTATTTTTCTTTTCAGAAAACATTAACAGGGCGAGTTATATTTTAAATTTAATATGTCATGTCACTGGTTTCAAGATGCATAACGTCATGGCCGTTTGATTCAGAGTATATACTTTGTACAACACTTCCATACCAGAAATTGCATAAATTTACGCATGCAACATATCAAGCTGCATGGTAACGCGTTACATGGAGCGAAAGAGTAGCTATAATAATAGTGAAATATACTTACAACAGACTAAGATAGTACCAACTAAAAGAAACCATTTCAACATCTTCAACAATGATAACAACTTGGAGCCTGTCTTGTGGATGTTGTTAACTCTTCAAAGTATTACTCGTTAATTTGAGCGGATTCCGTGTTTGCTTGCTGCTTCTATTTGCAAACTGAGGCGAAGCTATAGACGCCTAACTAGGGGGCGATTATTCATATATTCGTTTCGTGCTCTACTGATTTATTTTGAAACCAATTGCCTATAAGGTAAATAAACATGAATATATGGCTTATATAGGAACATATTATAGCCTCCAGTAACGCTTGAGCTACGCCGCTGTGTGCAAACAGTTTGTTTTCAATGTCGTTTTCTATTGTTTCGCATTCTCTTAAATAGCGCTGACGCTGATCGACGGCCCAGCACAGCTTTATAATAACTAATAGGTATAATAATAGTGCGATATACTTACAACAGACTAAGATAGTTCCAATTAAGAGAAACCATTTAAACATCTTCAACAATGATAACAACTGGGAGCCTGTCTTGTGGGTGTTGTTAACTCTTCAAAGTATTACTCGTTAGTTTGAGCGCCGGGACTCCGTGTTTCAGTGCTTGCTGCTTCTATTTGCAAACCAAGGCGAAGTTAGACGCCTAACTATAGGGGCCGAATATTCATATATTCGTTTCGTGCTCTACTGATTTATTTTGAAACCAATTGCCTTTAAGGTAAATAAACATGAATATATGGCTTATATAGGAGCATATAGCCTCCAATAACGTTTGAGCTACGCCGCTGTGTGCAAACAGTTTGTTTTCAATGTCGTTTTCTATTTGTTTCGCATTCTCTTAAAAAGCGCTGACGACGATTGACGGCCCAACACAGCTTTATAATAAGTAATGAAATTAATATCAAAAAGAATCCGTACATTTATAATGTTGTTATGTTGCTGTGATTAGTCGATTCGTGGTCACGTGTCTTCACACATGAGAAATTTTTGCCCACAAAATGGCGTCCACACTTAATACACAATATATAAACATTTTTGCAGTTTGTTCAAATAATTGAGCATGTAATTAATAGGAAAATGCACAAAATTAAGACGAACAAAGAATATATCGCAGAGATATTTCCACAACGTTCCGCGATTGAATTACCGTCAGGCTCGGTATATACTGGATTGTCTCCGGAGCGGTTAAATTTTGTAGGTCGCAGTGAAATATCATATTTCTAAGATCAATAAGTGAATCAGTAACACATCTATCAAAAAAATCAAACCTTGAAGCATTGGCTACTAAACATTGCATGTATGCACTTCAAAAAATAGCGGAGCTTTCGTAAGAAGCAAATCAGCGACGTTCACACGGGACCGGACTAATTTCCGACCGTGCTCAAATTGTCATCCATCATGTAGAACACCTGAACCGGAAAAATTCAAGCACGGTTTCAAATTTGCCCGGTCCCTGTGAATTAAGAAAAGTTTCATTATTTTTTATTCAAATAGCTTGAGAAATCATAACAGTACGAATTTTAATATCCCATAGAGCATGACGAATTGTCTGTACGAACAATTTTGCGATAATTAAGGGGGGGATCTATTGCTTATTCATTTATACGTTCTGTCCGACAAGACAGAATATATTAATGTTAACCCCCCCCGCAATATTTTTCTTGTTTCGTTTCTGCTCTCAAGTGATTAATTGTTGCTAAATTACGCAAAAAACTGGTTCCAAATATTATAGTATTGATTCAACTGCGATTTAAATAAGCTGGTATCGCCTATCCTTAAAGTTAACTTATAACTACTTGCAATTTCAATTGTATTTTTAGTTTACACTATAGTTATGGTTTTAGTTTAGTATTTTCAGACTATCCGTGATATTTATCCTAAATTTTACTAGGCCCCATTGTCGGATTACATTGTGATTAAATTACATTCATTTTACCAATATTGCTAAAACTTATTTTCACACTCGTTTTAATTTTTTTTCGACATTGATATATATATATTGCTTAGGCAAAACTTGTGATTAAGGATTAAAGCACTGTGTGAGTGCGTTACGAGTTCATAAAAAATGAGGGAGAAGTTCACTACTACACGAGGCGAAACCGAGTGCAGTATATTGAACTTCGAGTTTCTTGTTTATGAAGGAGTGCATTTAAAACTCGATAACGCACGAACAAAGAGTGCTTTAAGCTTTTAATAATCATTTTGAATAAACACATAAAGACTCAATAAAACCTTAAATAAATAACACATGCTTACCTTTAAATACGTTTCGTATTTTTAGGTGTGGATTCATCTATGATTTCCCCAATTTCGTCGTCGCTAAGCTCGCCAAATTTTTTGTTTGTTTCCGAATTAATTGCTGCCATTTTGCTAATGCCGTGGCGTTGTTGCTGTGTAAAATTCACTCACGTGGTACAAATCAACCAATCAGAACGTAAGTTTACAAAAAATAAATAATAATGCTATTCAGTTTAAGCTGGTTTTCTAATAACGATATTTTTCGCGCAAAGCGACTTCATTCTTTTGTATTTGGGCAATTTGTTCCAGATGGTTGCACGGTTGAGAGCTCTGAAGCAAAACAATCGATTTGCAAAAAGATCTCTGCTAACGTTCTTTCTGAATAACTTTGTTTTAAATTTTTTGGTGTATTAAGTATAGCAGCATTAAAATTGGGAAGGGGTTGATTGTTCAACGTTAGTTACTGTATATAGTTATTCTATACGGTTTACTTAAATTGGCGAGAAAAAATCACTTTTCACGCGATGTGAATCATATCATAGACTGGCGCAATAGGAGTGGCCAGGGTTTTTCGCAATGCAAATTGCCTTTTTATAAGGTCATTGCTGTCATTGGTTTATGGTTAGTTTCACGACAGCAAATGAAATGTAAACTTTAATAAACTTTAATACGAGACACAAGTGAGAAAAAAAGACTGAAATACTGCACCGCATATATGTGTGCTTTGTGTTCTTCTTCTTGAAGTTATATGATTAATATAGGTGAATAAATCTATCTAAAAAACTTTAAAAAGTGCTGTATAATAGGTGTATTTTACAAGTTTGACACTAGAAACTAGTTCACGGTACTGAAAACTGTTTCGAATGTTCATTGTGATTTCACTGATTTGTTAAATCAAATTTCAACTTCGTTTTTCCAAATATTACCATATCATCATATCCTAAATATTAGTTAACTGTACTAACTTACTGTACTGACTTACGTACAGACTTACAAGATTATATTTATAATATACTGCCAAAATATCAGCTACTTTTAGATGATTACATGGGAATTACTCTACTGTTACTTGTATACATCTTAGAATTGATAGCCTTGTAACCAAGGATTTTCGACTTGTGGTTCCATCTGGTGGACGTTCTGTCTTGGAAATGTCGATGTGTTCATGCATGTTGATGGAATATTTTGCCGTTGATGTGAGTTGTATACGAAAGGCACCTAACAAAGATATTTCAAGAAAATTATAAATAGTTCAAAATCTTATACAAGGATGCCAGATTACTGAAAAAACAAGCCTTCAAACATTGTTGTCGTCGGCTCTTTGATTTCTTTGTTTGAAACAAAGAAAACAACGATTATGCATGGTAATAATATTTGGCTAATTTGTTCAGTAATCTGGCAACCCTGATCATATAATTATTGGGCAATTGTAATGATGTCGTCGTATCATTCTATGCATGATGTTGGGTCTTATTTTTGTTTTCCTTTATTAACCAACGGTATATCAGTTTGCTCATATCTGAGTCCTGAGATGGTGGTGTTTCTTGCAATCTGATTGGTTAAAAATAGTGTGACTAATTTCCAAATCGCACCATTTTTGAGTATTAATCACATCATTTGTAAGCCAATTAGATTGAAGCTCTGCACCACAATAACCAATGAGATTTAGCATTTCAGTTATAACTATCCAATCAAATTACTGGGGAAAATGGCAAAGAATTATTATTTTGTATTTTTAAATGCCCCGCAAAATTTCTCGACAAAAATAGATGAAAATTAATTACATTTTACACCGTTTTCGGTTCTTTCAACCAATAAATCGCTTTGAATTTGTTTACTTTTTGTATGATTTTAAAATGAATATAATAAAGGGGAAATTGCACTTCGTGTCGTGCAATTTTGGTGTGAAATCAAATTTGTGATTACAAATTTTGTAATCACGCGTTTGATTTTACACTAAATTGCACTCCACACAGTGCAATTACCATTAATTATTCCACTACTCTTGGAAGTATGCTATAATTCGTACTGTTTCATTGATTTCAAAATGAATAGAATAGATATTGAAAATATAGGCAGTATAGGTCTACATAGACAAACATGCATGACACAAACGAAAGAATATCCTGTATTCATTATTTACCATGCATCATTCTAATGCGGGCAAAAGTTGTTTGACTTCGCTGACGCATGCCAGTTATAGCTGAACATGGATAGATATGTATGTATGCAGGTGATAGATGTCGTATGTATATAAGGATTCTTATATATTTTATGGTAACAGATTGGGCAGAGTGTCTCAGTGTCCGGCTTTTTCCGGTAGTTTCTGTGATATTTACTTGCAGCGATGTCGAAGATATATTTACCTGTGCACGAGATAGTTTAGGAGAACACATAGCATAACTTTGCCCAACTTTAGCGGCATTCTGCAAATCGCTCTCTTTGATCATATCTTGTAAATTCTTAATATACCAGATCGCTTTCCTTAGTATCTGTAACTTAGGCAACTTCCTGTTGCATGGTTCGATCATCAGATGCTTGCGCAACTCGTAGAATCCATCACTAATCAGACGAACGCGTTTTCTTTCACGTTCGTTGCGCTTTGAAATTGTTCCCTTACCTCGTTTACCTGTAAAATATCATAGGATTTATTTGACATCCCTTTAGACAACAGTTTGGTAAGGTCGGCGTTAGATCATATCGAACTAACGTACATGACGTCATAAAATTTTCAATAGCCCTAACACTAACCGTAATTAAGGTAAAGCCAGAGATACTATTACATAAGTATATGATCACTACTATACTGGGTATGAGGGTAACAGACATTTACACTTTCGTGTACATTTATAAATGTATAAATGTATCATCATTCATCGCCATTTTTATTTTATTATTTTTATGAACCAGCTCTAGAAAGACTTCATGTAAGACTTCTGTTATTATACTTCCGTTATTGCAAAATTTATGACGTCATGTACGTTAGTTCGATATGATCTAACGCCGACCGTTTGGTAATAGCTACAACAGTATGACAATATACCCTTCCATTATAACCCGGTTTTCCACTAGCGATATTCTTCGTGCGAATCGACATTTTATACTTTTGTTCTAGAGCTCTCAACTGCAACCATCTGGAACAAATTGCTCAAATACAAAGGAACAAAGTCGCTTAGTGCGAAAAATATCGCTAGTGGAAAACGGGCTTTATACATGACACACAGAAGAATATTTGTTCATTATTGGCTCCTAAGGCCCACTATTGGTCGAGTGTGTCAGAGAGGAATTATTTGCTATTTTGCAGCCGATTATAGAAGGTAAATATACTGGATAAAATTTTGGTGAGGTGATCTTCGAGGTGATCTTGGAAAGGATTTACATGCATGAGCATGCATACTAAAGATGCAACTGTTCATGTACTGTATTGAATCTCTCATCGTGATCTGTATCATTAGCATGATTGATCATGCAGGCATTATACAATACGACGCCCTTGCAAGGCGTGTACTATAAAAGAAAAAAATGACAAAAAGTATCATTTTAGAATGGGGTGACTGGTTTAATTTGTGTTGTTTTGCCTTCAAAATAACGCCACGTTACCCCAAATACCAAAAAGACAAGGGTTTATGAAAAAGGTTCGGAATATGTGTGCTCGCAAAAATTCCATACACTGCATAATTGTGGTAAGTGTTACTTAAAACCTGATGTAGACGACAAGCTGTTTTAAATTAGAATCGGCAGGAAAACGCCTCTGCTGATTCCCCATTGTTTGAACAACTCACTATCACAATCATGATCATCAATCATAAATGCTCTGAGAAAGAAAAGGAATGCTATTATGCCGATAGTCGTTACATTGTATGTCGTATATTAATTTATAGATTAATTTTAATGTAAGGCTCACACGCCTACGTTTTTTAGCTCTATATGAACCCTTATCTGTGCATTGTATCGACCGCATTAAAATCTGAGAACACATTTAATAATGTTCGCCGGCAAAAACATATTTTTGTCCGACAATGGCCTCAATCTATCGTACATATATGAAAATTAAGTTAAAGAAAATCGCATCAATACGTCATCTTTCGCCATCGTGAACGTTATACAACCGGCATTTTATAAAAATAAACTTTCGGTGCACTATTTTACGAAGCGCTCTTGTTTTATACTGGCCGGCATAACATGTTAAGTCAAAAACACAAAGGTTAAATCAGAAGTTAAATCAGTTAAAGACTAAATCAGATTATTGTTTTCGATTAGTGTTATATACGATGCAACTTGTTATTAAATCGAATTAACTTAACAATTGATCGATTAGTTTTACAACACAATCGATACATAACATAAAAAGCAAAGAGTTGGTATACTGTATACGATCTGAACTATTTGCAGTCTCTGTATATTTCAGCGACTAACAATATCCGGGGCTTTATCATGTTAATTGGGATTTCACCATATCAAGAGCAGTGCGCTTTTTGTCGTACATGTTTGTATACACAATGAATTGAGACTGTGACGTTATATAGAACTCTTAAAACACTCGACTCTTCAATATTGGCGGAAAAAAATCAAAGTTCGCTTCCCTTTTCGATGTTGGATCACCACGTGCACTGGGTGCGGTAACTTTAACCCGTATAAATGCCTATTTCACTTAGCATATTAAAAACTTGATACGTTCATAAACATTGGCCCATTGCTTTGCAAAGCTTACTCGCGCGGCGTAAATCGCGAAATTATTGAAGATGGTCACGTCCGGGATGGGAAATTTTCAAAGCGATAAAATGAAGTATTGCCTTAATGCGTGTCTATAGGATGGATATACAGTTATAATGCAAACTCACTTCTCACTACTCTGGCTTATCACACCCAAATTACTATGGCATTTAGCGTGCATGTGCTGATTTTCAACACAAATAAAACATAAATCTTTTCTGCATGAGTATATAACAAGCACACTGACAAGACTTAGCAAACACAAAAATGCATGTCTACAGATTGAACTACAAAATTACCCGTTTCATTTTACCTCGTCTATATCTGCAAGCAGTCTTCTCGTGCCAGTCTTCTTCACGATCTGCTCCATTGCCGAGCACTTTCTCTGCTTTCGATTCGGAAAAGCTATCCTGATTGATCAACGGCTTGATTTCTCCTGGAAAACTGGTTGTATTTACAGTCTTGTCCACAATATATGGTGGCGAACTGTCGTCTGAACTAAGTTCTGAATTTGAATACCCACTCTCACCACATGTGGATGAATCGCTATCGACGCCATGTTCGTAATGTTTCAAAGTCAACATTCCTAGTCCGCGATCAATGCAAAAATTAGGTTCCGGCATTTGGTACATTTGGTCGAATTAAGCAAGTACAGAATCGAAAGATACTGTACAAAACGGAGCTGTAGACTCCATTCGTGTGCCTTGTGTCTTAAAAATGAGATTGTTCGCTCGTCTCGCTGTTTGATTTTCATTTTGAACACCCAGTGAGATTTAATTAAATCTCGCCGCGCCGCGCTAAAATTAACAATAGCTACGCAAGGAACAATGAGAGGTTTCTTTACCATTTTGAATGCATTTTCGGCATGAATTATTTGCAGTATGCACAATTTTAGTCTTTAACAGATATAAATGAAACGGTGGCTTTTGTATTGTTGTGATGTTGTAGCAACGTTATTTATAAACCATTTTCAACCGAATCACTGTGACGTTCACATTCTGTTACCAACAATATGATGCCAAACGACCTGTTGCCACGTATTTGTAAGACAGATAGACACAGGGTTTTGCACACGTACGTTGCAATTCGACATTTTTTTACACTTATTTAGTTTAACCTGATGAGGAGTGGGGATAGAGCACAGGCGATTGCAGATACAAAATGAGTCCTTTCTTGGGACCAATACACTTATGGTATCAACCGTTTTCCAAATGTAAACCTGCTTGTTATTAACGGATCATATTTACTTTTAACCTCTCTTTATACACGATCGAATTATGTATTTCCCCCTGCCGTGGAATACTAATACATAAGTGCTCTAATTTGCATATTCTGTTTAAGGCCGGTTTTCGCATGTCATGATTTATCGAAATTCCCATGTGTTAATTCGTTGTTATTCGCATTCCGACGTAGAAAAACAGAATTTCAACAAATGACAACTTATCAATTACGACGAATTGCAACAAACTTTGAGATATAAGAGACAGATTTTACAGTTTGTTTAGACTAAATTGGTTTGTTTTCTATCACGTGATTGCTTTTATATTCACAACATAATACATTCTCCCACTATTCCATGCTGAAATCTAGACGAAAGGCCGTTCTTCGAAACTATCACAGCGAGCTATTTTGGAGAAAGTGCCCCTCTCCATGCTCGAGGGTTACGATCGACGATCATAAAAGAGTAAATTCTAAATGTATTTTTAGTGCATGTTACACAGCATGTATGTACATGATTGTGTTATAATCTTAACATGTTCATTAACTCCAGACAACCAATATATACAAAATAAATGCTCGGCGGAAATAAGCAAGGGACTTCTTGTAACGATATTAGAGAAACCATGTCATAGTTTTGTGGAAAATTGATTCAATCGGATATAAAAATAAAGAATAGGAAATTGTCGGCAGAGGAGCACATGCGCTGATTGTAGAATTTTCAAAAGGGTAGCCGTTTTAAGGGATGGCGTCTGATACAGAGGGTTAGGGGGGAGGGTAAGGAAGGTACCGCTCTCTAAATGGGTTTGAATACAAGTTTGGGGGGATTTCCTTACAAAATAATTTTTCCTCTTTTATCAATCAATAAATATTTAAATCAGATACCAGCACACCGTAAATTTTAAAATGCGTTTATTTTGATAATTATTTCCTGGCCATTTGCATTAAAATGGATCTATTTAACTGTTTTATTAAAGTTACTATTGACTTCGTGATTACCTCCCACAGCACCAAGCTTGGGACAGCAACATTGAAGAACCAACAAGCAAGTAAAGAATTCTAAAAAAAATTGCCACAATATGACATTATAAATGCGGACGTGAATGAAGAAAACCAAACTGATATATTAAAGTTGTTTACTCGTAGAAACTGCTGGATGGGGCTGAGCAGGGTAGAGTTATCAACCTCTATAGCAAAAGCACTAAGCAGCATTCCTGATCGGGTTGCATAAAAAGGCAAGGAAAAACGAAAATGGATTGATGAATGTAAATTAGGATTAATCAGGAAAATCTTTCTGCCGGTTCATAAATATATTCGTACTGTTTTTGCAGAATGCACGTGTTGCAGGGTCTTAGTGTTGCCCGTTGGCAGCTAAGAAAGTGCGTTTCAGAACAATTTCGGTGCGTTTTCTAAAATGCAATGAGCTGGGAAAAGTATATGATTGAGTGACTATATCAGCTATAATACCCTTAGTTCGTCATCAGGTGAAATCTCAAATTCATCTTCTTGCAACAAAGCTTTTTAGGCATTATTCGTCAAACTTTAAAGCGCGAAATTCAACTTACCATTTTAGAAAATTGGCAAAAATATCTATTCAAAAACGCTGTCGAACTCTTTGGATTCGCCTTTTCCCTCAACAATCACAGTGGTGGGTGCGTAAGGATGGTCGGTCTGTTGCAAATAGAACTATATAAAAAATAAATACCAGGTTGAACATTTCTTGGTTTTGCATGACTTGAATTTTGTCAACATTTAAGCGAGCGTTCAGCGTGAGACACCCAGAGCCATCGTTTTCTCGCCAGAGGAATCGCGGGCTCGGGGAACGAGTTGCACTTGTGGCAAGTCAAAATCAAAATTCATTCTGTTGCACTCACAAATAACCCGATTTTCGTAAGTTTGTATGATTTGGTAGCTATCATCCTTCAAACACCATTTTCTTAGAGTTTTGAGAATTTGACGTTTTTGAAAAAAAGCATGCTTACACTTGAAAAGCTTAGTACTGATAGGGATAACCTGTGGAGACCCTCATTAATGTTATAAGTATGATAAAATATAATAATGACATGATAAAAAAAGGGATTTTGTAACCGTTCCTCAAATTTTATGGTAGATTGAATTAAGCGTCTTGTTTATATTTAAACTATAACTGGTTTAACCGTCTAAAACTTACGTGAGCCATTGGCAAGGCATTCTTCTTCTCATCTTCACTAGCACGTGATCCAATCCATACGAAAACATGATTACCCTGATCAACAACAAAAGCTTAAAAACAAAAAATATAATTGTAAAAAAAATGCTCTTGAATCTATAATAGTAGACTTTAAATAAGTCAATTAACATACCATCTTCAGAGCGAAGATCGTCTTTCCTTAAATCTCCGGAAGAAACCAACTGTATATGAAGTTTACCACTGTCATCTGAAACTCTGAAATGTAGACAGCATAAGCTAATAAGTTGACGAGAAAAAGATTACTAGTAATCTATAGTCTAGCTGCATGACTACACGGATGAGATTTCGTAAAAAAACAAAGCGACCGCTATAAAACTACAATCATTTTGGTATAGCCAAATTACTGGTTTATAACATAAACCCAGATCCCCGCGCCCCTTTTCAATCTTGTGTCCCAAAAAGACAAACATTTTGTTCGCAAACGTGTTTAGATTTGAAATCTAAAATCGATTTACAAAGATGTATGACAATCATAATATAGATTTTTGCAACATTTGAAATGATTATATATAGCTATATAGAACTAATTGATATTTCTTAATTAGTTAGTCAAAATTAAAACTTACTTGTACATTTTTTTCTCTGCTGGGCCGTCGACAACATCCTATTAACATGACAATTATAGAAATATGTAGTAGAGCAATGATTCCTTGTTTAATTCCCCTGAGGAATACAAAAAATGTCTATTTCTTATATAACACAATGCGGTTCAAAACAGTATGTACTTTGATTAGACTGCGTGCGCATTGACGTCCAACACACTATTTTTCACCACAAAGACCATATACCGAATTCCCATGCAGTAACAAACTGTTAGTTTAGAGCAATTAATTTAACAGCCAATGTTAATATTTTAGACTAAATTTGACACCAATTTGAACTTAATTTAAGGCGAACAATGTCGTTAAAGTGAAATGCTGCATGTTTTTCGCAAAGTTCCTACTTAGGTCTCAAAAATGGTATGTTTCTGCCTTCATTCCCAAAAATCTATATAAGAATTTTTGATAAACGCTTTTCATTCTGTCGCTAAGGAGCGCGTAAATAGCTACATAAAATTACCCTGTCTTTCTTCTTTCTTGGTTTGCCACCGGTTGGTAATTTAGTATTGAAGGGGTTTTTCGGCGAGATTCTGTCTTCCTCTAAGAAAATGAAAACAATGAAAATGAGTACACCGTTAACACTACGGGGATTAACATGGCTTGAACAAGATGTAGTCCTTTATAGATGTAGTATTTAAATTTTATGGTCCAACAGAGACAAGTGGCCCAGACCTGACCAGGTGCACGAGTTTTGTAATCCCACCAAAATCAGATTTAAAACGTAAATCTGTTTGGTTAATTTGGATCGGAATCTAATTGCATAACCCAGTGACAGAGGCGAAGCTAGACGCCAGTCAGTGTGGGTGTCCTACTGATTTCTTTTAAAACCGATGGTTAATAGCATGAATATACGAATATACACTCCCGACCCCAATTAGCCACGCCGCTGCCCACTGTAATTATTTGCAATATATGTCCAGCTGATCTGAGTATAAAAATCAAAAAATCAGAAGCCAGATCGTCGACAAAACTGAATTATCATTTCCTTAATTCATATGACTTCGGCACTTGAAAATTTTAAGTAGTTATATTAATGCGGAAAAACGTTTACTTTTCACTTGACTGTTAAAAATAAAAAATATAATTTTTCGCCTTTAATATTAATAACAGAAAGAACGGGAAAAACTACTCCAGGCGAATGATAACTCAATCGTTTTGAGGCGTCTCATGACGTCATGATTCATTATCAGAATTCGATTGACTAAGAAATTTACCCAGTGTTTCCACCTTTGGACGTCCATTTCTGTCAGACTAAAGAATGGTAAGAAGCTTATTTTAATAAAATTCACGGACAATCATCATATATACAGTTTGTTGCTGTACACAAAGTCGGAGACCCCAAAAAATAGTCAGTTCAAACTTAATATGTGCTTTACAATATTCTCAATGAATACAATGGCAAAAGAGTCAAGTTTGATGAAAAATAAACAACATTTACCTTCAAATTTTGTACGTATTGCAAGGCAGCAAAACGTTCATCCTTATTTGAAGTTTTACCATTCCACTAAACAACAAACATATATGTATATCACAACAGAATAGACTGAAAGTTTAAAGATTAAATTCGAATACAATTGAGTGAGATGATAAATCATACTGTTACAGAAGACCTAATATTTTTGTATTTTACTTCACGTGGCGTCCCAATTCCTCGGTTTCAGACACAGTAATCAGAGTGAGACGCTCACTGTACGTTTAGCTTCGTGTTTGGAAGATAATATATGCAAATTCGAATTATTTTCCCTGTCAACAATTCAAGAATTCTGAGAAAGACCTAATGACTGACTGCATTGGAATGTACTTATAAGTGGGGGATGCAATGTTAATACCTGAAACAGTTCTAAACCAGCGTCAAAAATGAACACGTCATCAGAATCCAAAGATTCTTGAAAGCAAGCTACTTCCTTGACCACAACTGATCCCTAAAACGAATTAAATAAGTCTATGTTTGAGGTCATTCATTTGCCAAACAATCTGTAAAGGTTAGTATTGCCAAAAGTTCGTTTGGAAAACGAGAGTAATTGCTATTCTTTAGATACTGCGGTGTCGTCGCAGCAACATATTATGGTACAACCGCAGTGTTTAGGTCCCGACGCAAAGCGGGTAGTTTGAACGCGCTGTGGACATTAGAAAGATATAAATCAGGTAATATACGACGCCACTGGTGTTACCTTGCAATAGAATGCGGTATTGTGGGTGGTTTTGTACGAATTACATATGGAACATCGGCAGCACGTTACCCTCGTCTGGAATAGAATAAACCGATCATCAGCGAGTCCCTTTCCACTCGTTCAACTCAAAGATGATGAAGCATGTATGAATTATGCATGTGATAACGAATGATGCAGTGAATTCCTGGTTGCATACATTATAGTTTGTAGATTTAGTCCAGGAAGCCTTTGAAAGCGTACGACAGATAAGACGAGTTCAACAACGATTCCTTCATTGCGATTAAAGTACTTGTGTTTAATGATACAGAAGACACATCTGAACAATGATAAGCGAACGTACAGAACATGAAGGTGCTGTTCTAATTCCATTAGAACAGCATTTTAGAACAGCACAAGGAAGCTTGAGAATACATAATGGCATAGCTTGTTGGAATGTTGACTTTGCATGTTTCATCGAACTGAATGAAAAACAAATGATAAGAAAGTACGTCTGGATGGATGGCTATTTATCAACTTCAACAATAACAAGAATCCCCCAACGGCCCAATTACATGTGTCTCTATTGTTAGTTCCAAGATTAGTTCCAGTTTATACTGAAGGGAACGCGAGGCAGCCTGGGAAATCCCTTTAAGCACAACTTAAGCACCCTTTCGGGGGATAAACTTAACTCGGAGTTGCTCAATCGCTAGGTATGCACTTGAATTAATGATATAGCAAGGACTATCTATACGAGAGGCAATAGACCACAGAGAAATGGATGAAATCCCCATGCGAACGACCAAGGTATTTCACACCATTGTTAAGGACCACATTTGAGCAGCAAGAGTTTACATGCGAACGATGACAGATCGACATAGGCAATTTATGGTTGCGCCATCTTGGTTGTCTTTTTTGTATTCCATTAAGGCATTAAACATCCAATAATACAATAAATATAATACAATGAATATGACAAGCAGTCACAAAGTAAAAATAAAAGAAGTAAAACAACTCGGATATTGAAAATCTGATGTAAACTTTGTATAGGATCAACCAAAATAGCGTCAAATGAATGATTAATTGTTGGCGTCATATACAAACGAACACAGCGTATATGCATCATAACACCGTTTGTATCATAACAGCGCTTTTAAACGTACAAATGTTGTTTCAGCAATACAAGACATGCTTTACCATTCCGTGGTAAACATGATAACATGATGCTAAAGCTACTTCCTCATCGCTGCCGCTTGCAACAATTAGGGAGCTTTAGCAGTAGCACAGAATACCTATCAGAAGTAGAACTCCGGTACTTTTTTCGTAAGTGTGATTCGTCATGATTCGTCACTTAGCAAGTGCATTTTTTTGAGGCAGTCACCCCCCCTGCCAATACAAAATATGGTTTGATTTTAGACATTAGCAGGGGGGTGACTACCTCAAAAAAATGCACTTGCTAAGTGACGAATCGTGACGAATCACATACGAAAAAATAGTATAGAGTTATTCTTCTGATAGGTATTCTGTGGCAGTAGGGAGCTTTAGCAGTGACTACGAGTACGACTACGAGTACGAGATTCGTCATTCTCGCGCGTTTTTTGATAAATTTCGTACTCAAAAGCCCAACGACTACGAGTTTTGGTTGATGGCGCAAGCAAACAACGCGCGAGAATGACAGCCTCGTACCCAGGCGCTTTATTGGAAAACATAAATGCTGCATTCAGTGTAATATAGAGATCTGTGGCTGAGATGTGCGAGCGCGCAGAGGTGCTTGGGGAGGACGCGGCAAATGAAGCTCGCTCTCCCGTCGCGTCCTCCCCAAGCACCCCTGCGCGCTCGCACATCTCAGCCACAGATCTCTATATTACGCTGAATGCAGCCTTTATGTTTTCCAATAAAGCGCCTGGGTACGAGGCTGCAAGAATGACGAATCTCGTACTCGTAGTCGTACTCGTAGTCACTGCTAAAGCTCCCTAGTGACTACGAGTACCTTGTAGTCGCAGAGGTTTTGAGTACAAGTTTTTCGATAAATTTCGTACTTGAAAGCCCAAAGATTCCGAGTTTTAGCTGATGGCGTAAGCAAACAACGCGCGAGAATGACGAATCTCCTACTCGTAGTCGTAGTCGCTGCTTTATAAAGCTTCCTAATAGCTTGTTCTGAGCCGCGTAAACCAAAGCGTCGCGTACCTATATTAATCGCGTACCTATACGCATCATGCACAAATAATGTTTCCTGCCACATCGACATAAGAATGTTCAAAACACTGCTTCATATAGTTCACAGCCAGGTCTCATGCTACAAAGTGCCGGATAAATTGTTCTGCGACCATTATGCATGTTTACCAAAAAGTATAAAAAAACATTGAATTATTCCGAATATATTGAATCCACAAAAGGATCACCACTCCTTTAATATGCCTCCCCCCATTCTTATTTGTCATAATGTCAAATATTATTTATCAAACAACGCACCAGTGTGCGTACTCCAGTTAGTGGTTTGTTAATTAAACTCACTATAAAACTACATTAGTGAAAAATATTTCGCTTTACAACTCTCTCGTCCATTAAGTAGCTACCTTGCAACACCCACCTTTTCACGCCTAAATTGGAAAAGTCTTGGTGTATACTTCGTCGGCTCAACATGGCGGAAACCGGTTTCAGCACTGCAATTAAATGGAAGTTTAGAAGTCAGTAAAAATACTGCACTAAATATACTTAAATTTGGATTAATTTAACAAGTTCCAAATGGCATCCTTACTATCCACTATAAGTTTCTGGTGTACCAAAAGGCTGCGCTCTCGTCTACCCCTGGATTTGTTTCAATTCAATCCGCTTCTTTTTTTAACTGGGAATTTTATTTGTTGAAACTTGAAACGTTTTGTGAATTTTCCGTACCACTATCCCAGCAAATCTAGTTACCAGGACTAAATGCATAGTGTGAAATAGGTCGTTAAACCGAAGCTTATAACTCACCCTCCTTTCAATACTGTAATTTCCTTGAAGTAACTCCTGAACATTTGACTTTCATGCTGTTGTACTTCGCGATGTTGTACCGGCTTGTCGTCTAACTAAAAAATTAAATATTTGGTTTGGTAAGAAAATAATGAATATTATTTATATCTTTGTCTTTGATCTGTACACGTCCGTCAAGGGCACAAGTGGGACTCACTTTTCTCAAGTTTCAGCATACACAAGGATGGGGGGTAAGGTGAAAAGTGCAACCATCCAGCTTAAAAAAGTACAATCGTCTAGTGAAATCATCTTGAAAGAGAAAACACGACGAAACGAAGTTCAACAAACGATGTTTTGTGAACATTTTCTTGCATGCGTCGCAACAGAAGTGCCTTTTTACAAAACTGCCCCCTTTGCCCTTGCCCTCGCATCGTCCCAGCACCCCTGATCATATGGCTTTCGTAAATTTAATTGGATATCACCAGAAATATGTATCTCGGGATTCCCTGGTTGAACAGATAAAGAGTTTGGTTAAATTTGCGAAATCACTTACAAATATGTCCAGTTCAACAGTTTTATAAGCTGCAGCTCCATATTCATCCTGAGTGGAATATTTACCAATCCAGAAATGTAAATCATACAACAGTTCCTGTCGAAAAAATGAAATGCATAAACCAATAATATATTTAATTGATTGGGCAAAATTAAACCTTTTGACTATCTGAGGGAACGCAAAGAGCATGAGAGATTTGTTCTCTGCATATGTGTAAAAGGAAGCATTATTCAACCATATATGCAAATAAACTCATAGTAAAACTGGCTATATATTATAGTCATTTGCACACGTTTTTTAGTGGGGGAGCCAGTGGCGTATAGCCAGCCTGATGATTTTGTCCCACTATGTAAATTTCAAGTTATTATATTTAATCATGCCTTTAGAAATTTACTGTTTTCATAGTCAATGAACACCAAAATATTAGCGTAGCGGGATCCAAAGAGACAATAAACTAATATACATTTTATAATAAACCTTCAGTCTCATCAAATTATACATGGGGAGTGGGGGGGTTAAGAATTGAGCATACATCAGTGTTTGGTTTCTTGTAGGTTCTCAATATGATATAGGAATCGCCGCTGAAGAACTTTCCATAATCTTCCTTGGGCCAATGAGTAACCTGCAGGGAGAAAGGTACATCAAAATCATATTATCATGACTAGGGAAAATGTCAAATGACTTTTGCGGTTTTGCCTATATGTGGCTATGACGTATAGGATTCACATTCCATGCAAAATGAAATAATTCATCACAAACATTTATATTGCATATTATTAATTATTTATCATAATCATATTACTTTAAATTTGACAATTCGCCAAATTTGAATCCCAGGCCTTTGACCAGCGTTTTCCCATGCTTTTTCTGTTGCAGCAGAGGCTTTTTTCACCTGTGGTGAGAGAAAATAGGAATTAAAAGAAATGCCAAAAACAAAGGTGTGGTACTTCTGGACTAAAAGATGAACTAAATTGCCATGATAAACAACGAGGGGGGACTTTGAAGTTTTCTATAAAATACAACCAACCAGATAAGCATTAGACTGAAGTATGGGTTCCTTCAGTTCTCCAGCAGAGACAAAACGGGGGGTGTCCATTTAAAGGATTGCAAGGCAATTCGTAATCAAGGACATGTTTACACCAGTCCGGTTATCCGTGATTCAACGAAGCGTAAGATCATTTTGAAGTAATAAAACCAAACAAGAAAAGGCTATTTTTGGGATGACCACACGACATGCAGCCAGAAACATGGTTTTCGATACCTCGAAGGCTCGAAGTCGTTTTACGCTTCGCTTAATATCGCCTGAGCGGGATCATGTTTAATCCATATAAATCAGCTTTAAAGACGACGCTAGAAAGGCAGCCAACAAGCTATAGCACAATCGCGTTTGCGGAAAACATTCAGACACCGAATCATCTAACATTAATAAACACGAGACCAAATTTTAAGAAAGCGCTCCCTCGCCGCCATCGCATCTTTCTGGCGTCATGAACGGAAGGCTTAAAATCTACTGTTTGGCTTATCCGTTTAGTTTCACGAAGCAAATAACACATGCAAACGGTAGCTTTCAAACTCAGTAAACTTCTTGCAGTAGTTGGTATTTGGTGTACATAAAACAACACGCTGATTGTCGGAAATCTATAACATGCTTGTAGCTAACATCACAGCGACTATATTAGTGTGCATTCAAAATATTGCATAGTTTGTGCAGAAGTAATGATCAAGTTCGCATTATTGAATTTTGAAAAAGTTGTCCTTAAAACCCGTGTATTGCTATATAGCCTACAAAGATATAAACCTAAATAATATGTAACAGTGAGAGAACAATTGAGGTATTTCGGCAAAATGATGAATAGTAAACTGTATATATATTTTCCTAAAATATCCGTGTTGGTTATTCCATATCTCAAGACCTAATGTTTTCAACCGTAGTTGAATGTCACCTCAATCCCTCTGCACGATGCTTTGATATAGGCAGTGTTGAAAATCCGTAGAAACTAGAAAGTCCCTGCATGCAGCAACCAGCCGTTTCTTAACGCAGCGGTCCGAGGAATTACTAAATCGCCTATTGTCAGAATTTGTATGCCCTAGCACTTAAAGACTCAACACAAATGCAATTAATTAATGAGCAAGCACAATGGTATAAAATTTGATGCCTGAATTATTACACTATTCCACGCTTATTTTCGTTTGCCTAAGACTAAGTGGCTGGGTATTAAAATCTAACAGTAGGTGGCTGTACTGAGTAGTTTTAATGATTTAGAATACCATGTGATCCCCTCAAAGCATGAAACCTTCACAAGCCTTTTAAGGATCTTCTTCGACGAAAAATAATTGCATTTTAATATATATAGACAGACAAGTTATTATTCATGTCTAAGATAAAGAGTAAACAATAGGAGGCAAAAATATACACTAATAATAAAAGTTATCTATTAATTAATCGAGCTGCTGTGAAAAAATTTGTTTCGATTTAAATGTTGCGCCTTTCCGCAATAGCCCCATGCAGGACTAAGGAATTATACAAGTTTTACGGACACGTTTCGCTGCCTTGTGTTCACCTGCCACCTGTCAACAGACAAGCAACCCCACACTTGAGCCCTGTTTTTGGCTGCGAAATGTATTATATAGCCTATAAGTATATATATAAAATAAATGGGTAGGATATTATAGGATCTTAAATTTCGAAATGGCTCATTTAACTCTTTCTTTTGAAAAAAATATGGCTTCGGCACTTGCAAGGGGCGGCGTATAGATTAATGTTGCTCCAAGTTCAGGCTTTACAGAACTTGCAACTAACGCTTGTCGCTCTAAATTGATCCCACCGGGAGTAAATTCGGCGCACGAATGGTTGGACGACTGAAACAGGCCTCTCACCAAGCGCATATGGTTCAACACAATGACATCATATAACGGCATGTTGGCTCAAGCAAATGTTGAAGCATGTTTTGGCAGTTTTGACTTCTTAGAATCGAAGATGCATGATAGTCGATAGATTCGATACATGCCAGCTGTCATTCATGCATGTATATATCATTTGCTTTCCTACAACAGTATATGCTTTGCTTGAATACACAGACGAAACTGTGTGCGAAGCCGTGCTGTTTGTCATGAACTTTATACATGCTGTTCAGAGGAAAGATATTCTTGAGCTCAGGTTGCAGTAAATAACCTCACAACACAGACGGAAAACGAACGTCCTCGTTTTTAGTTACCGATATTTTCAAACTTTTTAGTTTAACAGTTTGTCTAATAAGCAAATTGTGATACACCGAGACAAGCTAGCAGCCCTAAATGGCTAAATAACATTCATGTTGGAAGCTTCGCGACGGTTAATATATCTGACATTATAAGTCATAATTGCTGTTTACCCAGAAATGTGTGAGGAATTTCAATATTTAATCTGTTTTCCTACCTTCTTTTCCAGATCGGAGCCAAAGAGCGCCAAGTTTGAGTCCTTCCAGTCATACTTTTTTGCTTTAACTAAACCTGACATTTTCCCTAAACACCAAAGAAACAGACAGATGTTTTAAGCACCAACTGGCAGCTACAAGCTAGGCTTAGACAGGGCGTGAAGTGCATAGACGTGGAGCGTTTGTGTGCTTTGACAGAATAGTTTTCCGTATAAGGTAATAATAGCAGGATATTTGAGATCGCACGAACACAACTGTAATCTCATCAGTGATACCTAAGGTCGGGAAAGGTCAAATTGTTAATAACGACAAAGCGTATAAAATCATAGTTGAGCAGAGATTTTATCGAGTCGGGAATTCGGCAGGCTAATAAAGGTCTATGCTCTCTCTTTGCATGGATTTGTTCATGCCTCGGATTTACGCTCCCCCCGAATTTTGCCACCATTCGTCTGCTTCCTGGGCTGTTAGAATCGAGCAATGTAGCTAATGTTAGATATTGTATGATGATCTGAAATTTTTATTACTGTATATATTGTTTAGTTTGAATGGACTATCTAAATTGTAAAATATTCAACGAGAACGTCGATGTTTCAAGTATGATGTTGAGTTGAGAGAGTTGAAAGAATGAGTTGAGGAATAATTAAATATACAATAACCCATCTGTCGTGAATGTAGCAGGGTTCAAGCTGTCACGTGATGAAAATTAACTAATTAGGTGGATTAATTGAAACAACTGTAAACAAAATTATTTTAAAGATTATATTAGCATATTAGCATAAGACTATAAAAAGGCGAAGAAAATGAATAAAAAATAATAAGATTGGGAAAAATATGTAAATTGCAATGCATGTGTGCTGATGACAGACATTGTTAAAGGAACGCTTGTTGACGCCATGCAGATGAATGGGGATGATTTAAGATCTTGAAAAATTTGACATAGTCTATCCGTATAACGTTTTGGACCATGCCCGATTTTTTGTAGTATCGATGCAACTTCGGCGAGAGGTCTCCACTCTATGCGTCTCGTCTGTTTTCGCTTCGACATAAATCAAAAGCGCGTTGATTGCTGCCAGAGCAAATGATCACTGATATTCAACCTAATTTGCCTTATTTGTGCATCGTTACTCTTACGGGTTGTTTACTTATTTTTGAACAAAAGGCTCCGTTTTCATGGCAGGTTTACTGAACGGTTTAGGTTTAAAAATATTTACAGTAGAGATATATGAGGTTACGCAGTAACCAAGGTTAATATCGTAGGAACCGCACGCGGGCCGGGCACAATGGCAGCGAGGGGGCTGGGAGGAGGTGTATAACTCTGGAAAGGAGCGGATATAGCGAGGAATGAGCACGCAAGGAAGCCATTAGCGTAGTTAACACCAGCAAAAGAAGTAGTCCGTGAAGTAGTCCGTGTAGTATTTTCATAAAGCATTGTTACCTTTCAATATAATAATTGATATAAATGTCACTGTATATTAATTGTGAGTATTATACCATAAAATGCCGCATTGTGCGCGGAACATGTTGTATGCTGTATTAGTATCATATAATAAGAGTTTAAAATTTTAAAATGGAATTTTAACAAGAAAATTTTGCAACTTTAAATATGCTATAATTTTGACCATATAAAATCTGTATTCGGTAACGCAGTAAAAGCACAACGCGGATTGATGTTTGTGGCAGTTGTTTAGTTCAGTGGAATTTGCCAAAAATCTTATTCTTCTGTCATTTTTTTCCGCAAAAGCCTTAGCAAGGTCTCAAAGATCGACGTTATCTATTCTTTTGTTGTGAATATTAAGCATAAGTAGCGAAAAAGTAGCAAGAGCAAAAAAATTGCAATTCATTATGTTCCTATACAGAAGATATGACAGTGGACATATTACAGTCGTGCCAATAGAAACCTTCTGAAAAACGTTGACCAGCTCATCGGCCTAACTTGAAGGAACACATCTGAAAAATTCCCCAACAATTTGAAAAGTCCCTTAAAAAGTTCCTAACCTCCTGTTTTATTGACCAATCAGACTGTTCAAAAATAAAATATAAAATTTGTCTATCAAAACGCCTGTAAGAAATGGGTGACATGAACTTCAATGTTATGATTATATTTTGTAGCAAATGATTAAAAATATTGGCTATCGACGCTTTGCCATTGAGTCATTCCATGATATAAAGTTTTAGTTGTAGATAATCTTGACCCAGGATTTTCTTGGTTCGAAATAGCGAGGGGTCTGCATGACACCGCAGAAATTGGTGTTTAAGACGTTTCAACCCGAAAATCTAATCGCTGGTTCACAATTGTGCATTTCTGTATCGCCCTATCAAAGAGAAACCTTTTGAATATCTTAAAAAAGTTCAATTTTTCTTCTGAATACGCATTCTGCAATCTTTTGACAGCTCATCATACACATCTGACCGCTGTGAAATGGCCATTTTGAGGCTTAAAGTATACACAAGGTTATTAATTCAGACGATTCGTTTTTACCGTGAGCAAGCTTCAAATCTTTTGTGCAAGACATATTTTCTTGAATATTTATAAATCTTTTTCCTCACCAAGTTTGAAGTCTAAGTATCGAGAATTGCGGCTAAGCCTATACCAATTTCCGCGGTGTCGGTCTGCATGCATGCACGTCTGGTAGTAAATCCCGTGATAAATGTCTAGCAACAAATTCGATGTCGCCATTTTGGTTTACTTTGGCGTACATTTATCAAAGAAAACCATGAGAAAACTTGAATTTCATAGTCGCTTAACCCCCCAAGTTTTGCCAACATTTTGTTTACGTTTCTCTGCCTCTTTGTATTAAGGTTAAGAATATTTAGTTTGCTTGTTGAGTAAAACGATAGACTTGCTCTCTATTTTGAACTTAACCACCGTTTAAGCTAAACGGGCTTGATACAACCGGCCCCAGGTGAATATAACAAAACCGAATTTGTAAAATGGCGGCTAGCCGTTTTGTGGGCGTTTCTTACAAAGAAATAAGCTACTGACAAATGCAGTTCTTGTGTCAATTTACTTACTTGTGGAAAAATACCAAAACAATTATTCGCCTTAGGCTTAGGCTTTGACCGCTCGGTCATGCATTATCGGGGAATATTCATCCCCGATAATCACTTCGCCTTCGGCGAATAATTGTTAAATATTCTGTTATGCTAAGAAGATTTCTATTGAAAGTGAAATTGTTTTCAAAAGAAATTATAGCAGAATATATTAATATGGTCCCCTGAATTAACGCTCGATTGAATAACTAGCCCAAACAGACTGGTCGCCATGCGGCAACGCGACGCGAATTTTCCGGCAAAGGTTTTAAATTTCCAAAAGTAAATAAATTTTAACCTATGAGAATAATTTTATAGATTACTTAACGATAATGCATTTCTGCTGTGGTGTCCATAGATTTCACATTTTGCTGCCAGAATTGAATTTATATGCTCCTGAAAACGGAAAATTCGTGTCGCGTTGCCGCGTCGTGTTGTAGCATCGCGTCCGTTCTGTGTGGGTCTTAATTCGTCAGCTATCATCAGCAAATATACGACACGAATTCGCAGAATGACTGTTATCTATTATTATATATTAATAATATCTATTATTTACTGCCGTTAATAATCTATTATTATATATTAATATAATATCTATTATTTACTGCCGTTAATCATCTATTATTATATATTAATATAATATCTATTATTTACTGCCAAGTAAAGACTTTGGAAAAGGACTTACGCTCTCCTATTTTATTAAACTCAATTTTATCTGAAAGTGGAGATGTTACAAGATATCAGTTATACATGCAGAGAGCGATTGCACGTAGATTTTTAAAGTTATTTCGGGAAAATATTTTAAAGGCGTTAAAAATTTAGAATTCAAGGCAGGCAGTGTTTATCAATAATATCTTGTTTCAATATACCGGTACAACGGCTGGGTTCTACTTATTTCAATATCCTCCAAAGCCTAGGTTCAATGTCAATATCTATCTATATCTAGGTTATGATACGTGGCCTTTCACGTGGTTAGGCCGTATTCTCTGGCACGAAAAGTCGCTTAGAAAACGATTTTCGTTGCCCCCCTTCGGGCACTACTTGAAAACACGATAGAAAATTAGGATAAATTATAGAAAGTCTAAATTCACTTGTTTTCACCTTCACAAACCTGCAGTTTTCGAGCATTTCATCTTCGAAAAATCAGTAAATTTGCATGTTTTGCAATACACCGACGCCATTTTGATTCAGGAAATGTATCGGATACTTGGTGTAATATACGACATATATTGCAGATTCAGCAGTTTTATACCGGGATTTAAATGAAGTTCCCGGCATTTTTGCTGCGCAAGCAGGTTTCAACAAGGAAGCTTTGAGTGGAGTTTTACGAGGTTTTTCACAAATTTTCATAGTTTTTCTAAACTAAATTAGTCAGAGAAGACTTAGACAATTTTGCTTACACGCATCAAAATCATCCACGGGCGTTTTGTTTCAGTCAAGTTATATGAAATAATTACTACACAATTCCTTTCCTGCTTAACCTTTGTTTTATATTAACTACTTTTATAATACACACGTTTTCTCAACAAAACTATTTACAACATCTCAGTTTTTTTACAAAGTTAATTACCAACGCCTTTATCTTATTATCATCAATCCACTAAAAAAACGAATTTTTTGAGCGAAGACCCAGACATCTTTACGAAGTTGAAAGAGAACAAATTTCAAACATTTTCCTTATGAAAACGTGAGAGGACTTGTGAAAACTGCCAAGTTGGCCCAGTCTAAACTTGCTGAAGTATTGGAACCTGAATCTGGAAATCCAGAAGTCAATGTTATTCAGTCGATGAAAGGAAAATGCAAAACATTTGGCGATGATGCAGAGAGACAACGAAGAGCTGAAAAGTGAAAAAGGAGTCCAGAAAGTTCACATCTTCGGAAAAGATCAGAGTGTTCCAAAATAGTGGAAAAAGTGTTTAAGATCCGGTGAAAACAAGGAATCCCTCATATATTTTTTATGTGAACACTGGAGGTGATGGGACTCCTCCCGGTGGTTTTTCCATTTCAACTATGTACGTAACTGCTAAAGAAAGATGCTATGTTTTATATCCCGGTGATTCCCCGAACGATAGTGTTACAAGTAATGAGGTGTCTTCGCTTCATAGCAATCACGAAAAAGCAGACACTCGTTTAATTCTACATGCTAACCACGCAG